GCTACAACAGGGAGGAGTGTCTGCGCACCGTGGAGTGCTACGACCCGCAGAAGGACACGTGGACGTTCCTGGCGCCCATGAGGACGCCGAGGGCTCGGTTCCAGATGGCAGTGCTGATGGTGTGTGCTGGGGCAGGCACGGGAGGGTGGCACGAACGGGGCACAGCTCACAGTGCCAGCAGCAGTTCACCTGGAGTTGTGTGGTCTGAGGGTGATGTGCTGAGGTGTGAAGTGGGTGTTTGCTTGTTCCACCCAGGGGCAGCTGTATGTTGTGGGTGGGTCAAACGGTCACTCGGATGACCTGAGCTGTGGAGAGATGTACGAGCCAGAGATCGATGACTGGACTCCTGTGCCAGAGCTGCGAACCAACCGCTGCAACGCAGGTGAGGCCTCCAGGGGCAGGGCAGGGAGGGCTGGACAGTGCTCCTTTCTTAGCTTGCTTACTGTTCTCTCCTCCTGAACAGGAGTGTGTGCCCTGAACGGAAAACTCTACATTGTGGGTGGCTCTGATCCTTACGGCCAGAAGGGACTTAAGAACTGTGATGTGTTTGATCCCGTAACGAAGTCCTGGACGAGCTGTGCTCCCCTTAACATCCGTAAGGGAGGGAGAGAGAGGGAGGGAGGGAGGAACTGCAAGAGTTTAGGTTTGAAAGCAAACCCAACCACCTTGAAATGACCTGCTGTGTCACGTTGTGGCGCGTGGCCGTGCGGGCTGTGACTGTGGCCCTCGGTTGCAGGGAGACACCAGTCAGCAGTGTGTGAGCTGGGTGGGTACCTGTACATCATCGGTGGGGCAGAGTCCTGGAACTGCCTGAACAGCGTGGAGCGCTACAACCCCGAGAACAACACGTGGACGCTGATGGCGCCGATGAACGTGGCACGGCGCGGCGCCGGCGTGGCCGTGCGGGACGGTAAGGGGCTGCAGGCTCAGCAGCTCCTGCTGCTGGGGGTCCACTTCTCAGCCACAGGGGACACAGGGGTGCAAGGGACCGGGTTGGGTCTTCTAGGCCAGTGTTGAGTCTCCTGTAGAATCAGAGAGTCAGCCAGATTGGAAGAGACCTCTAAGACCATCAAGTCCAACCCTCCCGTGGTCACTAGCCCATGGCACTAAGTGCCACATCACGTCTCAGCTTGAAAAC